GGTTCTGCTTCCCATGGGAGTTCAGCAATAGGGGTTCGGCCAATTGCCACATGTGCAAAATGACGTAAAGTGTGGGCCTAGGTTCTCTTGCTGTGCGGTTCCATTTGGTAATGCTTAAAGTCTCATTGGGAGAGACGTAACACTAATCACATAAAGAACTGTGGAATTATCCTTGATGTGTGAGTAACCTTTGAATCTGAATTCTTATATGGACAGCAACTTCAATCTTGAACTTGAATCTTAAATGTTGATCTTCAATTTCAAACGTCCAATCCAATAGATCTTCTTTAGCATTATCTTCAAGCATGAACTGCAGTTGATGAGTTGGCACTTCAAGAAAAAATTAAGAATCAAATGTTTTTTAATAGAACAAGAAAACAAATTTTATTTTCTCTATATGGGATGCCCATAGATGAATTATCTGCTCTGGGCCACCCCTATCGTCCTTTTCGTGGTGCTGGGACCTTGTTCTCAATTCCATTCAACTTTTGTTTCTATTTTGTTCTTTTGTATACGAAGTCTCTTTAAACTACAATAATTATATACAGTCAAGTGAATCGACATCGTCCAGTATAATAATCAGTTTCCAATTTTCCATTAGAGACGAGAATCTGAGCTTTTAAATTATATAAAATTCACAGAAGTAATATAAATTATTTTCCTGCTATTTATATCTCTTGATTTATCACGTATACGTATTATCCTGTCGACGTCAAATAATTACATCAGGTCTAAATGACCTTTTGCGCCTCTAATTATTACATGCTTGCAGCTCATAATTTTTTAAATAGTTTCTTCGTGTTACAAATATAAAATTAATGATTCGAGAGCCCTAAATATTGAACCCAAATTTAGATTGTTCTCTAAAGAAAATATTCAAGTAGGCTCATTTGCTTATTGAACACGGTGATGGATTCCGAAAGCTAATCCACGTTGACTACTTAGTTTCATATTGGCTCCCAACATACTGATATGATGAGTATAATAATCTATTTTCACCCACTAGCATATCAAAGAACTTCAAGTTTACAAATATCAATCTCTACCACGTAGCACATTTCGATAATTAATAAGACAAAATATGTGCGAATAATTTTTTATTATGACCCATTATAGATTAATCACTATTTTACTTTGTTTATACTTGTTACGGTGTATTAATGTTATTACTCTAGAATGGACAATCATCATGGTCAAAACCAATTGCATACCCCAATTGGTAAAGTAATTAACCCTTCGATCAAAATAGAATGTCAACACGTGTTAGGCGGTCTAGGATAAATACTTTTAGATTGAAATATGAATTATATTTTTTGCACTTCTCTACGCAGATATATAACTCATATTATCACAATGTGATTGACGACCTTTAGTCACTTACTTGATTATGCTATGAACAATTAAATCAAAATAAACAAATGATATTTATATAATAGACAAAAACAAAATGTTATAATTACAGTTATGTCCTAATTACACTATTGAGTACATATCCTAGTAGTTACTTCTTTGATTTTATTTGAAAAACAAGTGAAGAATTAGTACTGCAACCAATGATGCTATGTAGTATTACCCTCCACTACCATTTGAAATGCACTGCTTCAATCTTTAATGAAGCAATACACTCCATTATCACTTAGGTTGATGTTAGACAAGTACTACCACAGAGCATTACTCATATTGCATTCCATCTAAAATGCTCGAACTACTAGAATGTTAACTTGTTTTGTCCTTGAAAGAACATAATGCCCCAGTTTGATTTTGTTAAAAATTAAACTTTTAGTATACTTTGATAAAAGCTAATGAAATGTGTGATTGAAAGATTGATAAAAGTTGCAAGTTTCATGAAATATATGCTTAAAATTAAACCACTTACTAGCTAAAAAAAATAATAATAGTAATAACTTCTCTTTAAACATTGAGTAATGATATTTAGCCCCCATTATTTTGATTTTTAATAGGGGATAGTGTTTTTTTTTTTATTGAAAGTTGTGTGATTAAAAATAGGAGAAAGAAAAAATTAAACTAAATTGAAAAGTTTTAACGGGCCAAACGGGGCTTAGTATCATAGATACTATAGCACCAGTCAACATAGCATTGAATGTTATTAAATTAAATGAGTCACATGATTATACATTTAATTGAACATGTTATGTGACATAAAATGAGCGATGTAATTAAATAAATCATATAATTCTATATTTAATTGAATATATTATTTAGTGTGACCTATACTCATGTTGAATATCAAATTAAGAAACGTTGATACCATTTAATTGTATTTATGGATATAAAAGACCAAGGAATGGACATAACATGTCATTAAACTATTGCAAAAAACTCTCATACGCGCCCTGAAATTGTATCGCTTTTTTGTCCTAAATTTTCCGGTGACATCGAAGCCCAGTGGCCACTCAGCGTGGGCGTGGAGCTTTATCCACCTTCACACCTGTGATTTTAGTTTCTCATTCTATAAAAGTCACATATATTTCAAGAATACTCTCCCACTCTCTCTCTCTCTCTCTCTCTCTCTCTCTCTCTCTCTCTCTCATGTGAGCGTCTATCAAGCCTTTGGTCTTCTATATTACACACTGACTCCTTTTTTACACTTCTTGAAA